CAGTTCTCTACATTTTGTGGGACACAAATTACTGGAGGCAAATTATTTTTATAAGAATTTTAGTTTCAGGACTAAAAACGGTTGACTGTGAAATGTTTATTAGGCTTCAAATACTGTTGTGGGTTTTCGGTCATGCTATTTTTGGGAAATTTAGGTCATAATAAAAATAGAGTAGACTACAGCTAATGTGTGTTCATTTTATTGACACAAGCACTCGTCTCTGTGACATTTTTGAGAACATTCTTGAATTTAGCAGAGAGTTTGTGGTATCAGCTTTGACTGAAAAATCTCTTGCCAATTCCAGTGGCATCAAATCGTCCTGCTATACGTTTTTTCTTTTACGATAATTAAACTGAAAGCACCTTTATTAAATTAATGATGCGGATACTTGTCCCCGTTTACAGTCGAAAAACTCTGAGCTTATTTATATCAATATGTAGCTGTGCGGTGCTTTTTCGCAGAAACTAAAGCAATTAGTTCTTTTAGAATAAACGTAGCCTTAACTTGGCTTTGCCATGTATTGCGATCAGGGACGTCAAATGAGCGTAGGAAAGTAACTCTCATTATGCGGCTTGAATATTCCCTTGTAATTAAGATGAAAGATGTGTAAAGCGAACATGGACGTGAAAGTTGCACATGCTGTCATGACCACTCGTCCCTCACAGAATACCAACCTAGTAAATTGCACGGCTTGTCTGAACTTAACGGTCTTGCTCTACTTACTTCGTCCGCTACACTAACTTCGATTCTGTATGGTAATGTTTTTAAACTTCTGTACAACATAGTTGCCTGTATGTATTATGCAGATTAGTACAGCATTGTATAGCATATTAACCACTGTTGTGTTATATTGTAAAGCATAGTAAGCGCCGCAGTGATTTATTTTGTCAGGCAGTATCAACGTATTTATCGAGTATCTAAACTTAATGCATCAGTGCCACCGTCAAACTGCTCAGTTTTTTAACCGCAAAATTCTGCAGCCTTCGCTTTGATAATGATACGTCCTGGGCAAAATGAATCGCATTATGCGCCCTCGTTATAAAGATGCCTAATTTTTTATTTATATGACATGAAAAGCTAAAGGATTCGTCAAGTGTGCTCCTCCTCATTTTCTGTACTAGAGGATTGTAATAATAAAAATGAGGACTCTCCGTATCTCAGACTGATAAGAATAACAGCTTTATGTGTCGTATTCATATCTTCACGACACATCATCTATCGATAGGTAATCTTATCTCTCCCTTCACTGATTCAACAATGACATAGTCTTGAATACAAGTCCAGTGTGACTTGAACGTTGAATAAGGCTCCTAGCATGTGTTCTGTAGATGCAGATACCTTGATCAAGATGTGCACCATAGGATTTTTGCCGTCGTGAGGTGTGAATAACTTGCTTCATTATCATGAAGGGGTTTAATTCATTATCCAAGACTTTAATAATCAGAAGTTCACCAACCTGTGGAACTATTATTACTGTAAAAAACTAATCTAAATTGTAGTGCATTTACTTGAAGTGGAAATTCATATTGTGCGAAACTGACATAGGATTTTTGTTTATTCAGTGATGTGAAGTATTATCAGTTGTTTGAGTAATGCGGCATATTTATAAAAGCTTGTACGTACCCTATGTATTAAAAGCAAAATATCGTTGACAGCGAATAAATTGCATCAAAAATTGGTATCCAAGTGCTGATTGATCAATAGACGTGTGTGAACTCCAAATTTCGAGCTTGCAAAGTCCTCTGAGGAGGTTGTGTACAGCACGCGTGTCGTGTTTTGTGCGTCCGCTCGCTGTTTACTGATGCGCGGGCTTGCGTAAGCGTCTGCACCACCAGAACGCACCTTCTGTACCAACAATGATTTGCTCCTTACTGATACTTTGACTTGCGTAAGCCGTCTGCACCACCAGAACGCACCTTCTGTACCAACAATTATGTACTCTATACTGATACTCTGGCCAGCGTAAGCCGCCTACAACACCAAAACCAACCTTCTGCCCTAATAATGCTACTGTATAAAGTTCATGACGCTCTAAGCCATTGTTACTACATCCGTGCTAACGTCTTTGGTGATTGCTGCTCTGCCCTGATAACCATCTTTGTCATACGGAGACAGAATTTCTGATTCTGATTTAAATAACTCTAAAATATTGCCAATCAAATAACTTGAACTGTCATTTTAATGTACCGTAGTAGTTTTCAGCAACTTTTTTATTCGTCCATATTTCGTATTTTTTCCAATGAATTTGAAGCAGAGGAAGGGATTTTTCCTCCATTTTAATCGAAAAATCTTTGTTGATACATACCTCTTAAATGTTTAGATTTATCGAAGAATGCAAAACGGTACGAATGGCCGAACTTGAGCTATCATTGGTCTCTTCCCCCTAGCGTTCAGCAATTCGATGTAAATTATGACCACCACCTGCAACAACACGAGAAACTAAAAGTTAGTTAGGTCGAGTTCACCGTGAAAACTTAAATATTTGGATCCAAGTCATATAGCGGGAATCGTAAAAGTTTTTCCTTTTGTGATGCGCAATTGCTGTACGAGCGAGCGAGGCATAAGCCCTCACTTGAAGCAGTGGATTGAAGCTGCTTTTTTAGGAGTCTATCGTGTAGCACATGTGGCGGTCGGTGCTCTTGGTGGAGTCTATCGTGTCGCACATGTGGCGGTCGGTGCTCTTGGTGGAGTCTATCGTGTCGCACATGTGGCGGTCGGTGCTCTTGGTGGAGTCTATCGTGTCGCACATGTGACGGTCGGTGCTCTTGGTGGAGTCTATCGTGTCGCACATGTGACGGTCGGTGCTCTTGGTGGAGTCTANGTGTTAGCTTGCGTTTCAACATGCTTAGAAAATTTCAGCTCCTTGTCGACATAAACTCCGAGATCTTTTTCCACACTAGACTTTTCAATCATTACTCTCTCGTTGCAACCATGTCTTCTCATACTGTAATCTTGCTGTTCATTGCTGTAATCATGGAAATGGAAGGAGTATTTTCTTGCATGTCTATTTGCGATCTGCTTGATTATTTTTCGCGAGCTTCCTTCGGTGGGAGAGCGAATGATTCATGATGATATGGTGCCTAATCTTCCTCGTGTTGTATTTAATCATCATTGAATGTCAATTGCGAATTCACGTTTTCTTCTTATCAAGCCAGCGAATTTGAGTCCTCACTAATCTAACGATTTAATTGATATAATATCGTAATACTGTATTAGTAAATATCGTAATATTACGATATTTTTATTTATCCACCTAACTCATTTCCCTCGCAGAAAATATTTCCGTCCGGTGAAAAATATATTTCTGGGAACACGGGTATATTTAACTGCCATTGGAGACGTGGTCATCAGACAGGAAATTGAGTCATGAACTAAAATAAATAATAATTAGCAGACGATACTTGAGTAGAATACATGTAAAGTCTGTATGTGCTGTTAATGCACCATTTACATTTACGAGTAGATTTATATAAATTCAAGACTGGTGTAATCAACAACTTTACACTCGAATTGAAACGAACGACGCTAGGCTCCGATTTTTTAAATTTATGTTCGTGAACATTTTTTTATTAAATAACTTCATTCCAAGTCCAAGTCTTACCTTTAACCACTGGGCCACCCTGCCACAACCACTGGGCCACCCTGCGATCTAGAAGCGATTTTAATTCTACCGTCAGTTGGAAAGATTTGATCAAAAGGCAAATCTAGTCAAGAAAAGTACAAGAATTCGCGACAGGCCTATCCAGGCATATTCTTCAATGCCGAAGATACTATACTACACTATACTTACGACATTAATGTTACCAAAGTTTTTCGACGTTAGTATACAATTAGATGCTAAATAGCTTGTAGGCATATCTACAAAGCTTTATAAGTCAGCTCTAACATCTGTACATAGCAAAAGAACACCTTTGGAGTTTTACAATTTATACAAAATAAAGTTGCCTAAAAGATAGATATTTTTGCAAACCATTATTTGCTAACCAGCTTGATTGACATATCCGATGTTGAAAATTTAAGGTAATTTAAGCTTTAAGCTTGGGAAACGGAAGCCATTGTTTTATTTATTGCAAAAATTTAGATAGAATAAACGATTTATGAATATTTCTTCATTCACCTAGCAAATTTATCTGCCTACGTTGATCTCGCGACATTCGTGATATTTTTAATGTTCTTCCACAAATTTCCTGGTTTGTTCAATGCGAAAATATCAATTACGACCGAAAGATTCTTGATATTTTTCCACGAATTTTCTGGTTTGTTCAATTAAAAATATTAATTACAACCGAGATATCGAGTTCCTCGATATACGAGGACATGGAAAGTGTAACTCGCCATTAGAGGAAGCTTGCGTGAGAGCTGCAGCCCTCATCTTTTGTGTCACTCGATCTTACGCGTGTTGAGTTATCAGCGACGCTCGCAACATCCGGTCGGGGTAATCCGGTGGCTCTGAAGCGTTGCTTTGCTCTCTCTTTGTCCTGAGCTCAGGCTACAGTACAGTCTTGTCACGTGTGTGTACCGACTACGAAGATTATACGTCCTACAGAATAACTTTATATTTTTAGAATATAAATGTAACTAGGAGTGACTCAATTCTTCTTCAGCACTGTTACTGTAACTATCAATTGTTTCGCATAGATATAAATGTTGATACGCTGGCATTGCGATTAGCCATATTTTATCGACTTGCACTTGCACAACAATCTGTAGTTCTCCCCGTGCATAAAAATGCGAGCTTTATTCTCTTATACAATGGATGGATACGAAGCTGCTCGAAGCCAGCATCATCATTGAACTTCTAGCGTCTGAGTCATAATGTTTACTAATATTCTCGCGGGATAAATCTGGTTCTGTCCAACGCTGCTCGCCTTGTTGAGGTTCATGCTTACAGACAGGACTGATTTCTGAAGCTATATCACCTGTGCCAGAAAAAATATAAGGAACTCTTTCTGGCATAATATTTCAACACAGTACCTATATATTTAATTGGGGCAGTAAATGTGCTGGATGCATGCGTGCTTGTAAATGCTGGAGACGAAGGCGGCCCTGCGTGGATGGCATAAATCTTAACGTTCATATCCCCGTGATGGCTTGGGTACGAGAGGACATAGAATAAAAGCTTGTGTTATTAGTATAAGTGCGGCTAGAGCTGCTCTACTGAAATGAAGCCTTCAAAACTTGATTTATTAAAAAAGGTTTATCATGATTTTTTGTTGTATGATTCGAATAATTGGTCGCATACCCACATAAAATTTCAGAATTTCTTACTGTGTAACTAGCTTATCAGGGAAGATGGCTTCCGACGTTCCTGCCGTTTCGTCCCTCATGATCGTTAATGTGAGTTCAGTGACGACATTTCAGTGACCTCATTCATCCTCTTTAGTTGGTCGCGCTTCCAACTAATGTAGTTATCAATTCTGACAATAAATATCTTTATTTATCATTAAAAGGTAGATCGTGTCCGCACGATACTAAAAATCATTTCTAAAATAATAGGAAAAAATTAAAAAATTGAAACCCCATTAAACAATGTGCATCACTAGTCACGCAGCTTGATCTTGGAGGAGATAAGACGCTGTCGGGTGGTGCTGTCGGCTGGGTGTCACTAACATTATTTTTACGGCCGTACTGCTTGAGTCAATTGTGTTCTCCTCGGTCAAGTGAAGGTTCATAGTCAGTTTAAGTGACGAGATCAGCGATGCATCGTTTCACTTCACAGATAACAGCTATTTTGACGAGTTGGGCGTAGACACGAAAGTTTACTATATCTTGACATTGTTGCCTGATTTATTTTATTTGTTCTACTGAAAATTTGTTCAATTTGTTTAGAAATTATTTTGTAACGATCGCCGCATCGAATTCCTTTTGCGTGCAAGATAAAGTCGTCCCTACAAAAATGATATGGTCAAATAAGATCAAAATTTTAAGATTAAATTTAATTCATTGAATCGATTGAAATGTGAATTTTTGTAATTTTTTGGCCTGTTAATAACGCATAACAAGCAAAAAAGAAAGTAAATTGGAATGCTGCACGTTTTTTTATTCCATATAAATACTATAAATTTCTTGGCTAAGCATTGGTTTGATATTGTTTTTGTTATTATTTTTTTGCATTTCGTGGAACCATCACAAATTTACTTCAACTTTCTAATAATGATCAAAATTATATCATACAATTTTTTTTAAGCTTATGCCATTCAAAGTTTCAAATGTCTTCTCAGAATTTACACAGCTCGCCCGGTATAAACATAGACGTCCGAAATTCTCAATGTAACATGCATATCGTCATCAGCTGTGCTGCAATATCTAATGAAATCTTGTAATGTGCAGCACCCGGAGTTCACCGAAGAGGAGCTAACGCAGATCTTGAGCTTATTCTGCAAGTATGCGTCGCCGCCCGACAAGTCAGGCAGCATGGACCTTGCCAACCTCAAGCAGCTGCTGCAGGCTCTGGACCTGGCACAGACGCACCTCGAGAGCAAACAGACATTCGACAAGTACGCTAAGAACGGCAAGCTCGACCTCGACTGCTTCATGAAGATGGTTAAAGATCTCACCAGTAAAGCTGGCACCATCAGCCTTGAGGTAAGCGCTCAGTATTGCTGGGGTTTTGGGTGAAGATGAAGCCACTTTATTTTCTACAACAGTCTAGCTTCTAGTTCTTGGAAGCTTTTGGTGGCGCTTTGAGTTTTCTTCTAATGAAATTTGATCTTGAGAACAAAATGCTAGTTCCTTTAGAAATGGCACATCGCAAAGCGTGCAATATCTACACGAATAGCGTATCTTCAATTGTACTATCATTTAATTCCCTTGCTACGTATCTCTCAGCCATGACCTGATCGTTACGTTTCAATCTAGCTATTTCTTGCCCTACGGGTAGTAATAGATAGAACTGTTTCAACCAAAGACCGATATTCTACTTTTATTGACAACCAATGCTGTATGTTGCAGTTGAGGACCTGACCAGTTCTTGCACTAGCACCTGACCAGTTCTTGCACTAGCACCTGACGTGTTCTTGCACTAGCACCTGACGTGTTCTTGTACTAGCTCCTGACGTGTTCTTGCACTAGCACCTGACGTGTTCTTGCACTAGCACCTGACGTGTTTGTTGCAGAGCGTCATGCGTCTCGCGTCCAAGGAGGAGATCGACGTCGACGAGACCGGCGTTGGCGGGGCCAAGAGGTTCTTTGAGGCCAAGGCGAAGGTGCTCGAGGTGGGCGATCGAGCGTACCGGGCTTTTGAGGACCGAAAGAAAGAGGAAGAGGAGAAGCTGAAGAAGAAAGAAGAGTTCAAGAAGAGGAGGGAACTCTTCCAGCCCACGGCGGCTTCGTAGTGCATCATGAGGGTTGACTCCAAATGCGTGGCATGAAACTCTTCCTCCCACATGCTGTCAATTATTGTCGAGTGTTTTTAAACTGATATGGATTGTGCTGTCCAAGTGTTCTTTTAACAAGCGGTGTGTTCGTGATGAGCGTAGATCTCCGTATTCAGTACCAATGGTGAAGTCTGTCCTAGATGTTATAGCGGACTTCTGACTTACCTTCCGGCTACTTATAGTTTGAAGACAAATTAAATTCCTTACGTCAGGTCCTCTGATCGTCCATTTGACTTGGTATTTTGGTCTACGATGTAACATTCCATTCACAAATTTGTTGATCTCCTATTACAGTATCAGTTCTTTTACTGCGACAAACTGAACGAGAGGTTTTTAAATGGTTTATACTAGGTATTTAGAAACACAGCCGAATCCGATTGAAAAAATACTAGGTTTTAAGTCAATTAGTAACAATGTCTTACTAACCATCTACCTAAAACTCCCGTGAATACTACTGACTATCGGGTAACGCGAGGTAAAGGTTGAGCTTTTAACCAAGTCTGTAACTGGAATGGTTTATGTTCTTAAAGCGGCCGCTCGCCGTGGACATATCCAGCTCGGCCAGAATATCGCAAGCATATCGCACTTGGCCTTCACTCATCCACCAAGTTTCATGAAATTTAGTGTTATTTAAGAGAACTAAATTTCAAAAAAAGACACGACTGTTCATGTGTTCTGCTTCCGTGTTGTACAAAAAGGCTTTCTAGTCTGTTAATTCTCGTTCCAATGACTGGTACTATCGCGTGTATTTTCATTAACATTTTTTAATACGAGCTTCCAGAGTCCATGCTGTACTAACATGATTGCTAGGCTAAGTGGCCGTCTCAGCGGCGGTAAATTGCATTATGTTTATTTAACCTTGCAATACTCAATATTTCTCCCGTGCGTTTTTAAACTTTAATTGGCGAAGCGAGAGGTTTCAGGACAGAGTTCGCCCGCTATTGCTTCTGTGTTCAAAAGTTGATTTGAAGCTCCAAATTCGTGCTGTGCCGCCCGCTGCGCTTGTACCATTTTTGTAATTTTTATTCTAAAAACGTACTTTCTTGATGGACAAGCCAAGTCTATGAGCAATAAACTTTCTGTACTCGTGTGACAGTTATATTTAGCGAGATTTTCGGGCTCATTGAGCATATCGCTTCATGCTATAATAGGAAAGAGATATTTTATTGATGTTGCTGTGTATAGTTTTAGTATTGCTTTCAAATTTGGTAATCTAATTAGTCATCGGATGAAGTTAACTTTTTGTTTCGGTGATGCCACAACATTTTAATTCCTATTGATTTCATTTTATGCAACTCCTATTTTGATTTACACTCAGTTTGATGTTTAAGAAATGTCCTACTAGCCAATTGTTTTATTTTATCGAAGCCAAGCTGTTAGAAAAAAAAAACGCTTACAAAAATTCAGTTGTTTCTGATGTGCATTGCAGGACGCTACCGTCACTATTCTCATCCCAGGGATATTGTTCTGGCGCGTGCTTTACAAACAAGATGAAAACTGACTCGCGCTGATCATCAACTTGGTTATTTAGTATTACTAATTAATTTTTAATACTTTACTTGCGCCTTGTGTTTGTCTTTAATTTCTGATCTTAGTACCACCTGATTTTTGCGTCAAATTTACCGCCCGAAGAGGTTTAGAAAAATTAGAATGAGCTTCTTCGTGGCATGGGAAAGGAAAAATTTGGCAAATTGATATTTACGGGAACTCGGAAGGTTTTTCCAAAGTAGAATAAAATTTATGTTTCATAGCTCCGATTGACTTCTTGCCAATCCAACATTTGTGAGCAGACATTGAAGAGTCTTTCTGCCACTGGGGCTGACTAAGGTAAATCTTCCTTGACTTCAATCGTACTCGTCTAATCAATCACACGCCTGCGTTTCAATGGAAGCCTCTAGTTCTGAAATGACTCGAAACTTTTCACACAACTACGGCATAACTTCCTGTACAAGCAAAGAAATTTTCATCGGGTCACCGCTCAGTACTTTTTTCCACAAAATCGAAATGATCGAAAAAAAAGTCCAAAAACCGAGATCTGGCCAATTTCTAAGTCCCACGGAATTGACCCTCCTGTGGGGTAAGGCGACGACGAATGAATATTCAAAATTGGTTTTCTCGGCCAAGGTAAAAGCCACCGGCACCAAACTTGGTCAGTGCGATGCCTCATTTCTCTCTAGCATATTTGAAATTTTGTCCATTTAAGATCAGGCTGGTGCCTACTTATACATCAACAAGGTTTAGATCACAACAAGTTTCTCTCCATTTTTCTTATCCTGTACGGTACAAATGAAGATTTTAAATTTGATTCAAACCTACAACTGCAACGGCTCTTCATGTACTCGTCACAAGAGCTTGAGGCCGCCTGTGATCTCGTCCACTGCCGCACACGAACCAAAGATGCCGAGCACCGTTACGGAGCCCTCCGCAATCTGAAACATAAATAAAGGATTAGGAAAATAATATTTTATTGCGCTGAAAGATGTTGAATCCATAAGTGAATAACCGGTTTAATGAATTATTTTAGAGGCAGCAAACCTTAAGGCGAAATTTAGGAAGGATTGCAAGCACGCGATAGCGGCGAGGTATTTAAAGAATGGTTCTGTAGATGACACAGACGTTCTTTTATTGGTTTTGTAAGCGGCAGTTGTGTCCTCTTAAATGATTAATGTTTATGTAGCTGGCATTGATTGCCTCTAAAGGAGCCAAAGTTGTACCAGCCATGGCTTTTAAAATGCGCTAGATTCCTGCGCCTTTCATGTCAGTGACGGCGACTTGGAAGAAAAAGGGAGTATCAATTGTGACTCCGTTGATATTACTAATTTAGTCAGTTGGGAGGAAACCGTTGTAGACCAAGGCGAAGTGTGCGTTCTTGATTGCTGGGAGAAATATATTGCCCTGGGGTCACGGCTGACCTCTTGGTGGCGGACTTGTTACGGACGATCGAAGAAGTTTCCGGTCATGTTTCGTAACATCGAGGCGCCATTAAGTGACGAATAAATTGATGTTTTCAGCATAGTTAGCTACTCCGTAGCCTGGGCTGTGTGGCGGAGATGTATTGACTGACGATGTCTGGAAAGATAACAGAGCTGTGGGGAGCTCCTTCCAGTGTGGTACGGAATTTGAGGCGGAGCACGGTCCGAATGTGAGGAACTCCCGTAAGTCCACGTGGTCCGGAATATGAGGAACTTCCAGGAATACGGTACTGAATTGAGATCAAGAACTGAGGTAGAGACCGGACGCCAGACTGCCTCTGAGACGGCAGCTTAACAAGCACACCAAATTGTGATGAAGGCCAGAAACCGCAATGATGGAGATGGGAAGAGAGCGTGGTCGATTCTGTCGAACGTTGATGTAGATCATAAGAGAAGCAAATTGATATTAAAATGGACATTTTGAAAGCATGTTACGAGAAATAGGTGGCGAGGAAGGATGTTCTGCAAGAGGGAAGCATATGCTGCTTCAGGACCTTAACGGCAACACAAATGAGCGATGAGGCGAAAGGTGACATGGCCCCTTAATGTTCCGGCGTTGAGGATGAGAATAATAATAAAAGTTTTCCGTATGGCCAGGCCAAGGCTCTAGAAAAGATATATTGAAAACATGGTTGGAGAAGAACTGATTGGATTGGAGCAGGAAAATTTTTGCCCAGATATCGTTTGAGTCTTCGAAGTTGGGAACGGTGTGTGCGTCGGTCGCACGTGGCAGCCGACGCACAGTCTACCTGATAGTCTACTTCGTTTATTTCTACGGGGCCAAATTTAATAATAACCAAATTTGTGCGCAAAATTCATAAGTACAAATTGGGTTATGCGTAATTCTGTTTCCACTTTCAGTGGCAACAAATTTTATGACTTTGACACGGCAGAATATTTATTCTTTCCCTTCAAGCCGCGTATCATTTCGTGCAACTTCTCTGACATGAATTGAAGGGAAAAGTTGAAGTTCATTATTAAAGTTAATAAGTTGAAGTTTCTCAGAAGACATATATTCAAAATGCAATCAGAAAGGGAAGTTATATGGACGAGTTTAATGGAAGTTCAATTCGTTCGATGGTTCAGCAAGGGCGAGATATTCTCAGAACGCGCCTTCAGTCAGAGCATACCGCCTCTTGAAGCATGGCAACTATCAAAAAATGGCGCCCTTCAAAACATGGCACCCTCCAAAACATGGCGTCCTTCAAAACATGTCTCCTCTCTCTGATTTGTTGCGAGTCTGCCTTCATTAATCCATGTAGTCCTTGTATCTGAATAACTGAATGTTATTGCTAACAGATGAAGAGCAGGAGCGATGCAACTTGAAGAGATTGCATTAAGCTCTCAGTGACAGACGTCTCGGGCGGCCCGGGTGCCTCAAAGTTGCGCTTCAAAAACATCTGCAAGATGGACATGAAATGGAGCTTCATTGGCCCCATCTTGATGATAGTAAGCCAAGCAGACGAGCGACCAGCCTACAGGCTGATTGCCAGGCAGAGCGCGTCCGTCGTACGTGGAGGCTCAGCGCTGCGAATACGCAGCCCTCAAAGAGGTCCAGGCAGAAGCAGCTGCCTACACCTGCGCCGGTTGAGTCAGGGACTGCTATTTTGGAGTCGGCAAGTGTAGCTGTGCTATACTTGCCTGTGTTTTAAAGTATAAAATCTATTGCTGTAAATCACCCAAATCTTCCAAATTGGAAGACCAAATACAGGTCTTTTTGGTGTTCTAGGGCCTCGAAGGTCAATCAAAAGACCTGTGCAAGACCTCGAAGATTAATCAAAAGACCTGTGCAAGACCTCGAAGGTTAATCTGGACCTCGGTTAATCTGGTCCTTTTTTTGTACAGGACCTCGAAGGTTAATCTCGAGTAGTTAGAGCCTTCATTGATGCAATTAAGGAATGTTTCGAGCAACAGAATAATTCCCAAAAGGTTTTGATTTCACTTCTATGATTAAGTTTTTCAACGCAATAAGTAGGTGGTCAAAATTATATTTTCAAAGTTCTTACGCAGTTTCATTGCAATGTTAATTGTTACCTGCGTGAGTCCAGCGTCAGCGACCAGGTAGGTTGGTAGTCGTGCGGCCTCTGCCTTCTTTTTCAGGAGGCGCAGCTGGCTGCTGTCACTTCCCCTCAGTACAACCATCTTCTCGCTGCCAGCAAATAATTGAGTTCAATTATTGAAATCGATGAAAAAAAACTAAATCTAGGCCGACTAACTGCAGGCAGGTACATAAATATTTGTGGATAGTTTGCTAGAAGCGCGAACTGGTTTTGAATCCAATGATTAATACAAGATTTGAAAAATGAAAGTTACGAGTATTGCGGTCAGATAGCATCGCAACATCAGTTACAGATACCGGGACCAAGCCGACATCTGTTTTTTTTATAGCTTAGACCACGCCTCTCATTTTCATTTATCGTCAGGAAATATGAAAATGAAGATAAACTAACAATTCAATGATGATAAACAGAGCTTCGGGCTCAGCGATCCTAAACAACGAGCAGGAGGCTTTTTGCCCCTATATGTGCTCCGTTCAATAAATTATAAACATATGGTAAATAACCATTAAGAAAAGGCTAGCCATACCTGGCGTATCGACCAGGACATGTGGATAATTGTTGGAGTGGTTGTGCATACGTTTCAATAACTCGATTAGATTAAGAATAAAACAATTGAAAATAATATATTGCCCTGAAAAAAAATCGAATGAATATTCGATTTTTGGGTCATGAACTGTGACGATCCGACATTGATTGACTTAGAACAAAGTGGGCTGTTACTGAAATAGTCATTAGTTTACAAGGCTTTAAATTTCACAAGACAAAACCAACTCTTACTCATGTACACCAGCACACACTAACGTTCGTAATGTGAATACTAAATTATAGATGAAGCTTGGAGGCCAAGCACAATATGAAGAGTTGTTGTGCCTTGCATTATTTTCTGATGATATCAAATCGAAATAAAATATTGACAATTTTTAAAAATGCAATGGGTTGTTGCGCCTATAAGTACACATGTTCGACTCATTCTCTAGAAGCCAGGTTTCGAACAAGCACAAGCTTCGCACGTCGTGTTGGAGTCAACTTACATTTTTCGCGCAAGCTTCTTCCTGTTTGGTCATCAGTTTCAATCTGCCAGCCTCATTTGGTCGGCGTGCGTTTCACCAACAAAACCAAGCTACCCTAACTTTATTGAAGTTTAGCTCATCTTACTCACCCCACTCCACAACACTCACCCCACTCTACACCACTCACCCCACTCTACACCACTCACCCCACTCCACACCACTCACCCCACTCCACACCACTCACCCCACTCCACACCACTCACCCCACTCCACACCACTCACCCCACTCCACACCACACCACTAACCCCACTCCACAACACTAACCCCACTCCACACCACTCACCCCACTCCACACCACACCACTAACCCCACTCCACAACACTAACCCCACTCCACAACACTCACCCCACTCCACACCACTCACCCCACTCCACACCACTAACCCCACTCCACAACACTCACCCCACTCCACACCACTCACCCCACTCCACACCACTCACCCCACTCCACACCACTCACCCCACTCCACACNGCAGCAGAGGGTAATGGATGCCGCAGCAGAGGGTAATAGCTGTCTCTTATACACATCTAGATGTGTATAAGAGACAGCCACTCCACCACTCACCCCACTCCACCACTCCCCCACTCACCCCGTCATCTCCCACTTGGTGAGGTCGGACGCTCGTGTGCGGGGCGCCGCCCTCTGCAGCGCGCGGTGCAGCCCCAGCACCGCGTGGCCCACCTGCGCCAGGTACCGACTTATTTCAGTGATTTTATTAATTTTCAGCATTAAGTCAAGATTAATTACTTAATGTACATGAAAATTCTGATTTTTACAACTGAAAATTAGTAATTAATTGAAGTAAGATAAATTTATATTGACATTTGCATTAACTAATTATTTTCAATTAGCATTAGTAAGGCTTTAAAAGTCGCTCGAAATCGAAAAAAATAGTAATTTTTCATCCATTAGTAATTTTTCGATTTAGAGCGACTTTTTAAGCCTTACTAATACTAATTGACAATAATTAGTTATTGTAAATGCCAATATAAATTTCCTTAATGTATATGGAAATTCCGTTTTTTACTTCAATTTGTCACTGTGAAGCTTACAGGAAATTTTGATACTTCGTAAATGGAAATTTAAATTTTTAAGCTCATTTGTCACTATAAAGCTTGCAGGAAACAAAAGCTTTCAAATATGAAGTTGCAGGTGCAGTAGCAGGTGCATGCTACGTTGCAGGTGCAGTAGCAGGTGCATGCTACGTTGCAGGTGCAGTAGCAGGTGCATGCTACGTTGCAGGAAGTGTTATTTTATTCTCATTGACAGAATATTAAGGCATTGCAAGGTGTGGAAAAGGATCGGAGCAAAAATTGAAATTTGAATTTCAAATTGGTATGTTACAAGCCACACAATTTTTTTTCATATTTCTAAACAATAGTCAAATGTACGTTCTTGGTTCTATGTTTAAAGTTGGTTTTGATTGGATCTTTATTTAATTATGGCAAGTTGGTTCTATATTTAAAGTTGGTTTTGATTGGATCTTTCTTTAATTATGGCAAGTTAATTGTATTTTTATTAACGGTATTCAGGACAACGAGATAATATATAGAATAGAAGTGTCGGCGTTGAAGAAATAGGCCCATGGCCTGTTGCCGATTCTTGAACTTTTCGTGACTTGATTCACAAGGGATCCGGCCTTTGGAACCCGATCTTTCTATAGCTGACGATTGATTGAGATAGCTGCTGGACTTATTGCCTGGTCCGTAAGGTGCTAGGTATTTTAAGACTGAATTTCAATCTCGGGTGGTATCGATCTCGTGCTACTTAGGGTCACACGCTAAGTTCTACATAACATAACATAACGATGTCGGCGCTGAAGAGTAGGCCTGATGTGGCCTGTCGCCGATTCTTGTACTTTTCGTGCCTTGTTCACAGAAGATCTAAAATAGTGTCATTTGACCGTTCTGCATAAAACTGACATGAATAGAATATTGCATGAATATTATTCGCTGTACAAATACCTGAGCAGCCATCTTGCCAGGCTTCATCCGAAGCGACGTGTCGACGACGAGCGCCATCTTGTGGCTGAACACGTCGCGGTCATCTTCATCATCCACGTCCTCCCAGTCCTGGCCGTCCTCGTCCACTGTGGATGTGAAAGGATGTAAGGACCATGCAAGGTAACTTACACTGAGATGTAATTAAGTGCAATTACGTATTCTGAACAGAGCGCGGTGGAAAACAATCGTTTAGCTGTCAATGGCGTCATCTATTGAAAGATCGGAAAGAAATCTTGTCTCTTTTCACCGACCCCAAAAATCTTTCCATCTCATGGTTAAAATATATAAGGTTGACCCGCGATGATTTGCGTCTTTCAGTTCAGCTTTCTTGTTACGTCACTGAGATCAAGAAACGTTAACAATCCCATCAATCACACGACGGATTGGCTGACTGGTTTGATCGCATTTCGGTGATTGGTTAATGCCCGTGACGTCACTGAGATCAGTGACGTCACAGGCGAACAACGAACTACATGCGCGAAAATGAGCTTCTCATGGGTCAACCTTATAATAGTTCAACAATGTTTCCATCTTATCTATGCCTTAGCCTGACAGACTTTTACTTCATTGTCAATCCAAACTCAATTCGTTGATCAAAACTGCATGGATCAAGGAGCCGCTGACCAATTATATAGATTATTTCAACAATATTCTAGAATCGGATACCTTTTACCATAATCATTTAAACGAGGGCACAGTATACAAACTGGTATCACAGACCTACAAAATAACTTTTAGTACATAGTAAGGCTGACCAATCCTTAAGAAAAACAGTGACACATAAATATAAAGCTAGTGGCAAAACTGAATACACTATTTTTACACTATATTAACACGGCAGGGATCATTTTAGACCGCGACGCGATGTTAAGATCTTGACCGCGATGGTAAGACGGTACTACTGACGCGGCAGGAGGCTGAGGGCGTCGGCCTCCTCGGCGCTGAGCTGCGCCAGCCACGTGAACGCCGCCTCCACGCTACCGTTGCCGGAGTACACCAGCGCCTGCAGGGGGGGAGGGAGGGAAGGATCAGGAGGTTAGAGGATCAGGGGCCATACTTTCAAAACTGGCTAAGTGAACGTAAGTATTTACGACCTATTTTTGTTCTTTGATTGATGGATTTTGCTCGATAGGCCGTCAATGATTGGCTGTTGCTGATGAATTTACGATCTCTTAACTTATTTGGAAGTATAGGCCCAGGGAGTGGTAGGATCGTTGAAGGAAACCTAGTAGCTAATGAAACCCACATATATTCCGCAATGAGGCATCCAGCACAGCCAGCCACATCCACCGATATAACGGATTTAATTACAGACCGATAACGCTTACAACACAATTAGAATATAATGCCACATGACGACACTTTCCTAAGTTGAGTGAATTATTGAGAAGCTCATGAACAATATGACACAGATTGTCTCGAAATATGTGAGCAAATAAAAAGAAAAAAAGCTTCATACATTGAGCCCTCATATTGCCCCAAATAAATGTTTAAAGTAGATTAATTACAATTTATTTAATTTGCATAGAGAGCACAGCCGTGGGTAACAAAATTGACTCGTAAACAGGCCCTGGGCCCAACGCTAACCATCAGCATGCAATATCTACACATAGCCTCAGATCAATGAGCTGTGTCGCTTTGTGTCAAAAGCCGTGAAGATGCCCGGCTGCGTTACGCTCGGGAAGGTATATGAATCGCACTGTGGACTTGGGCTATGCTGACCTCTAGCTATCCACCCATTTGCATATATTATAGTGATATTAATTGATCTACATTGCGGAGATACATTGCATGCATGTCACGATTTTCAGCTCCACTGCGATATTGATTTTTTTACAATTTATCAGATAATACTGCAGTGTATGTCACAAGTCAGCCCTATATATAGTCAGTCACTCGGAGAGCTCGTATATATAAGTCTTATATAATAAGTTGTGAACCAGGGGCCATACTTTCAAAACTCGCTAAGTGAACATAAGTACTTACGCTCTATTTTCTTGTCTATGATTGGTGGATTTTGCTCGGTAGGCCGTCAATGATTGGCTGATGAACTTACGATCTCCTAACTTATTTTGAAAGTATAGGCGCAGCAACACAACTCACGCGGATGGCCAGCGTAGCAGGCACCCCCATCTCCAGCAGCTGGGCTAACAGGCCAGCGTCAGCGCCATGTGTGTTGGTGGGTTGCTTTGGTGATCCAACCGAGGCATTTATTGTAGCTCCTGATGAACTTTCAATATTTGACGCTTCCGAGGATCCGACTTCTTCTGAAGTTGCGGCGTCGGATGAAGCACAAAGTAAATCGTTTGATGTCGTCCCATCTTTAGGACGGGGAGAACTGGCTGCTGTGGCAGTAGCTTTTTCCTCTGATGGAGATGGTTCAGTTTCAGAGCTGCCGACTCCTGCAACAGACAATGACATTAGTCGATGAAAAACTTCTAAACAACCATGAAAAAAATGGATGAAAATTAATTCATCGATGAGAATGAAATGAACCATGAAAGTTCACTGCAGCCTATTACACATAAATCTTTACTTCATTTACTTAAAAAATGTTTTGACCTTTATCTTTCATCATTAGTAACGGAGAACTGTTCAACATCTTCCGCATACAACGGAAGATGATAAGCCCGATAATATAAAAGCTAATACAGCGATATTATAATATAGTGGTCAAACCTTGGCTTATGTCAAGCCAATCGCATATTCATGCAGATATATAATTGCTAGCAAGGTCTCAAACCCGCGACTCGCTGCTTAAATCTTGGTGATCTCAACCAATCAGCCACTCTCATATGAGACTGCACCCTTTTTAACGAGAGACGATATTTGTCAAAGACAGTAAGTAATATTTTATTTCATTTGCTGGCAACTGCTGCCACGTCCAGCAGGACGAGTTACCTGCCACAGCGTTGCTGGCAGCCGCTGCTGCCACGTCCAGCAGGACGAGTTACCTGCCACAGCGTTGCTGGCAGCTGTTGCCACGTCCAGCAGGACGAGTTACCTGCCACAGCGTTGCGGTCAGCCGCCGCTGCCACGTCCACAGCTGCAGCGTCGCCGTCAGCATCAAGGCGCCCCCCGGCCGCGTGGTCGCCACTAGCGGCGCTCGCGTCGTCGGTGTCCAGGGCAGATCTCTCGTTGACAGGCTCCATCAGGCGGTCAGCGCCACTTGAGTCTTGCATTGTAATGTTTATAAGCTAAGCAATAATATTATGAAGACTACTACGAAGTCATAGAATTACTATAGTATTCTTAATGATAAAGAGATCTGCCAAAGAAATGATCCATCGTGATTAGCACAGATAAATGCTTGAGCAACGATAATGAATTAACTTAAAAAAAACTTATGATATATGCTACATTGATAGATGAAACTCGATGCTTCGTTTTATTAAAGACCATTTAAAATTCATACTAGTAGGTATATCGGCTAGCTAGCTTGTCAGCTATGTAACCATCTAGCTCACGGAGCGATAATACTATAATATCACCAACTTAGGGAGGAAGTTTTCAGCTCAGAAATTATTCGTAGCAGCACTGGAGCAGGCTGGACTAGCTCGTTGGAGCTGTCGTTCAAGGAGGAGCGGTTGCGTCGCTCAAATAAATTAAATAAAAATTTAAAAAATGGGACAAACGGAGAGCAGAGCAAAAAAAAAAAAACGGAGAGCAAAAATGGGACAAACGGACAAGCAAATTTCACACTATGAACCAAGTCAGATATCAAGTGTTCAACAGAGGGCAACGGATTAAAATGCTCCGACAAATATGATACTTTGTACGACATCCGACGAGCAAACCAAGATAAAATTGACAGCAAAAAATGAACATAGCAGAGGCGAAGCATGAGAAAGCAGTACGCAGCTGGAGAGCTGGTTTGGGGCCGGTATGTCCCCTTTGAAGTGTTCCCAGAGGTCAGGTCAAATTTGCTGCCACAGTCCGGCTTTGCAGGATCAATTTTGCTCTGACGCTGCTTCTTTACCGCCGCCACAGAACAAGCATTACGATAAGACTGGCTGTAATGTCTTCTTTATGCTCAAAATTTCCAGGATAACTAAATGAAAATTCCGTGCTGTTAACATTTATTCAAAAACGGTTCTCGGACATTTACACGAGGGTCGAGAAGTAGAGATTAAAGGGTTACAAGAGTTACATGATAGTGAACAAGAAATAATGTACAAGAGGTAATGGGTACCGCAACAGAGGGTAATGAATACGCATGAGAGGGTAATTGATAGGCAGCAGAGGGTAATGGATGCCGCAGCAGAGGGTAATGGATACGCAGCAGAGGGTAATGGATACTGCAGCAGAGGGTAATGGATGTCGCAGCAGAGGGTAATGGATGTCGCAGCAGAGGGTAATGGATGTCGCAGCAGAGGGTAATGGATACTGCAGCAGAGGGTAATGGATGTCGCAGCAGAGGGTAATGGATGTCGCAGCAGAGGGTAATGGATGTCGCAGCAGAGGGTAATGGATGCCGCAGCAGAGGGTAATGGATGCCGCGTGGGTGCGTGGCAGCTTGTCATATTAAAAATAAAAAGCATCAAAAAACGCAAGTTCAGTCTCCTTTCACACTATATCGATAAAAAATCGACAAGGTAAAGTAAAATAATAATAGAAAATTACGTGGCGGTTGCCAAAACACAAGTGGGAGAATGGCATGAATGGCCTGCAAGAGCTCACAAACATAACAATGCTACGAGATCACTTTCCTCCAAGGCCCGATATTCACCGAGCAGGAACAACCGAGCTATACTCGTTAAAACTCGGTACAGTTCAAGTCTACGCAGTTCAACTCGGTACAGTTCAAGTCTACGCAGTTCAACTCGGTACAGTTCAAGTCTACGCAGTTCAACTCGGTACAGTTCAAGTCTACACAGTTCAACTCGGTACAGTTCAAGTCAACGCAGTTCAACTCGGTACAGTACAAGTCTACACAGTTCAACTCGGTACAGTTGAACTGCTCTAAGAAAAAAACAGTTGAACAACTGTAAGAAAAAATAACTTTTCCTGTCACATAACAGCACTAGACAATACTATCAACAGAAACATGTGCGCATTTCTTCAATTTTGCAAGTTATCCGAGTATATTTCACCGCACTCGAGCAAGCCGTAACTAGACACTACGTAGCTGCCGTCCTGCTGTTCATGGTAAGGCCCCTGCGACGTCACGGCGGACCAGCTTTGGTCCTGACATGAAGCCTGCGTGCTGGCAAGACCATCCAGCCCTGCGGTGACTCCAGCTTCTTGCCGCTGCAATTCCTCAACTTTTTTCTTGCGAATTCCTCGGTAGTTCTCCCAGTCGCCGACATTTTTTAAAACTCCTTTCAGGATCCGGTCTACTTCTTGACGCGGGGCTCCCGCGAAGGCAGTGCATTCAATTGCGCCTGCCCGACATTGATGATAAGCAGTTACAAGAAAATTATGGTCAAAGAAGAGCTTAAAGATCGCTAAAATCACTGGTGCAAAAATACTAATTCTCAAATCTTGAAAATTATTAAAATCCTAATAGAGATAAAAAATATACAAAACAGGAAATTTGATAACGATAACTCTTGACAGATTTTTCCACTCGACACTTAACGTACCCAGAAGTACTTGGTAGACTGAGTGCCCCTTGAGGCTAGTTTTAGTTCTCATTCGCTTGCCATCCAAGCCGGTGAAGGAGAAAGTGACGGCGAGCGCCCGCGTCATCAGGCGCTTGAGCATCGCCCGCAGCGTCGCTTTCAGGGTAGACGCTTCATATCTTCGCAGCGTCTCGATCTTTGTTAAATAAATACCTTTATTATTGTTATTATTATTACAATTTTAAAGAGAGCACGCATATACGTGCATTTAATAGAATCCCTACAGTTACGCGAGCGTAGATATAATTATCTTGACAGTTATGGCATCTTTGTGAGAAGATGCGCGAAAAGATATCAACTGATACATAAATTAAGTTAAAACATAAGCAGACTTAAGAGTAGAATAAGCGTTTAGCACTTATATACGTGCATATACACTGACAATTGCCCAAAATAAAATTAACACAACAATTCAGTACTCACTATGCCCTCATTAGACAGCAGATCAGCCAGTTCTTGGAGTGTAGACGCAGGTTCTGTTGGAATCTCAACAAAGTCTTGTGCTGGCTGCTTCTTCTTCATTTGCTGAACCTTTTCATGGAGCTCCCTGAGCAACGTGTTGTTCTCCAGGCCCACAGCTAACGTTTTCTTTATCTGTCTCCCAAGGGCTGCTTGTTCTTTTTCGATGGATGATAATAGCTTCTCGACTGCGGTTCTATCAGCTGTCGCCGGGCCGTCGTAAGGTTCTTCTGCATCCCTGGAATATAATACAAAAGTATCACTCATGACGCGTGCTGGACATACATTTCTTCATAGCTTAGCGACAGTAAATCATGAAATGAATTCAGAGAATTTATAAGAACACTTAGGTAAATTGATTATAAGTCAACTTTACCCTGCCCCTGCCCGAGCGCCACCGAGCTTGTTTTATTTAGCCACAAATTCTCATCTCACCCACTGCATGAAATATTTCGTTGCCCTCAGAATTCTATTATATTTTGTCCCAATAACAAATTTCTATCCATCTGGTTTGTTATTTTTATTTGACTAGGGCGGACTAACAAATAAGTCCAGTTGACGGTAATTAACCATCGCCATGACAATGACGTTCTAAATATCTCAACAATACATATACGCTACTCGGGAGATTATCAACCAGGGCCTATACTTTCAAAAAAAGTTAAGAGATCGTAAGTTCATCAGCCAATCATTGACGGCCTTTCAAGCCAAATCCACCAATTATAGACAAGAAAATAGAGCGTAAGTACTTACGTTAACTTAGCGAATTTTGAAAGTATGGTCCCTGAGAATTAAATGGAATACTCACAATAAGGAACTGAACTCAGCGGGAGTGTGGAATGCGAGTGGATCCCTGGCAGAGGTGGAAATTCCTGTGGGTGAAATTGCTGCATCATTGAAGCGCAGCAACACAAAGCTTCTCACACAAGAGGGAGGTATTTATCCAGGTTCGTTTTAAAAGTTTTTCCGAATGAAATCACGCAGAAATTTTTGACACGGAACATAATTTGAAAACCCTAAAGTATAACTTACTAATACACAAACAAATAATAATGAAACGAATCAAATTGTCTGGTAGCAATTATACGCACTAATAAATTTTCGCTTTCACGCAACTTAGACATATATTATACAAGGTTTCATAATACAGCTACAACAGAACACCAGCTACCAAAAGCATATCAGGGTTGTACACAAATGACGTACCAAGTTCACGCGCGCGAGGGCTGCGGTGTGAGGACACAGGAGGCGACGGACTGCTGTTGAGACCTTTAGAAGAACAAATAACACATGCTTAATTAATAGGTGTTAATTAATATGTCGTGCCTAAACACATGCTTAATTAATAGGTGTTAATTAATAAGTCGTGCCTAAACACATGCTTAATTAATAGGTGTTAATTAATATGTCGTGCCTAAACACATGCTTAATTAATAGGTGTTATAAGTTGTGCCTAGCAGTTTGATTTATACAGCAGACTTACTCTGAAATGAGTTGACGATTCCATTGTGCGTAATCCTAGGTTTTCCAACTTTAGAAAAATGTTTTGGTGCCTAAACGATAGAAGAAAGGTGAAAATGAGGGCTTAAAATCGTGGAGAGTTCAAGAATGATTCGGCACTATTGTATTCAAATTAGAATACCATATAGAATATTGTGTGCAGGTTTCCACATGAAATTTCAACGCTCGTTAGGGAATATTATGGTCACAGTTGCTAGCATCTTTGAGATTAGAGAAGAACTTTCGCTGGTATTGCACTCATCGGCAACAGGACACTCGCTAGCAACTAGATTCGAGGCAGCCAATTAAAGAAAATGTTTACAGATTCAAATTATTATCATACGAATTAAAATATATACACAAATATAGTAGGAGATATAGATAAAATTTTTAAATTCAAATTCCATAGAAAAATAGACTTGATTCGAAATAGCGTACGTATAGCAGCATAATATTTCAACTCTCTACAACTCATGCGATTTGCAATCTTTAGATCACATGCATGCTTCAAACGGTCTATGGAAATAAATAATTGATCACATTACAAGGAATACGCAGGGTTACAATACTTACAATCACTTGAGACATGCTCGAGATACAAGGTAGTGTTATCAGTTGAACTATCGTCACTATCAATATCGAGGGCAGGATGGGCGGCGTGCTGATCTTCTTCATCATTTCTGTCTAGGAACGCCTGCACTCGCCGCTGTTTCTGTCTCCTTGACAGAGTGTGGTAGGACTTCAACTCACGCTTCTTCCCCATTGCGACTGATTAACTGACAACTTCTATTAACTTTGACTGATTAACTTTAACAACTTCTATTATTATCAGAAAGGTTTCTATACTTGTACTTTTTTGTACAGCCTATCCTATGCAAGCGAGAAACATTCCTAAGACGAGAATTTTATCCAAAACATGCGTTGAAAAATTTTTACGTCAAAATTGAATCGTTTCAAGATATTCTCTCTTGACCAAAACACACCCCCTCTGCTAACGATCTTTCAATGTTCTAACATCTAATTACATTAATCTACCGAAAAGTTACATGATGATCGAGGCTATCCGTTGTTTTTCGTTTTACTTCCTGAAAAACTGCTAAACGCTTTTCCTTTGTGTTCGGATTCTGAAAAACAGGAGTGAATCACAGACGACCAGTGGGCGTATTGGATAAAATCATTGCTAAAATCCTCAAGTACATCATTAGTAAATCTAAAAATAGGCAATTTTGAGATAAATCCTGAAATCATCAGCACAATGCTTCAGACACCTCACATAGTTGATCACAGGTTCGGCAACGGTCTTTACAAATAGATCATTGACTCGGCCGTTACAGGAGCGCAAGGTAAATCTCTATGCAAAATTTCTTGTAGCTACTCGATTACTTTGATTTGACCAAGAGCACCATTGCCAGGAGCGCCTAAGCTTTCCAATATTTTTTTCTGAGGATTTTTAATAATAATAATAGCAGTTTAAGCGTTTATTAGGTCGTAGGCCTGTCGCCGATTCTCAACATCACAGAGCATTCACAGCATTTTGCGGTCTTGAACTCGCAACTCACTGCTACAATTCTGCTATTCTTAACCGCCCGGCCTCCTCGCCGATTCTGACCAGAAACTGGCGCACAGAGCTGGGATCGAACCCGCGCCTCTCTAGTGCGTCAATCTTGGTACTCTGAACTGTAACCACTGGGCCACCCTGCCCACCACTGGGATGTGAACCCAAATTTCTTAGCTGCACTATCGGTAATCGGCCACATTTTCTTTTCGTCTCAACGAAAAAGTTGTACAAAAAACATCACGCGAAGCGACGTACTCCAGTGACAGAATTTTACACACTAACAATGATGATGTAAGTGTAACAAACAGATACATGGGCTAAAATTAACACGTTGACTCCAATTGCTTCATCTTGTACTATTATTTCATTTTTGCACTATTGTAAAACAGGGTTGCCAGACGGTCTTTTCTTCCGGAAAATTAGATTTAACAAAAGAAAATGAATTTTTACGCGACTCGGTATACACTTATACTAGTATATATTGAGTTATATAGGTCCTTTTTGGCCTGTTTTGTTCACGGACTTGGCCGTTTTCAGGCCATCTGGCAACCCGAAAATAAATATTTCTCCACTACGACCTGGATAAATAAATTTCGTGCTACGCATATGTACCACTTCGGAGTCAACGTGTTAAGCTCCACTCTCCTTTCCTGCCGCTACCCAATTCCAGTAGCTACAACACCCTCGTACGCAGTCTACCAACGCACTGTCAAACTGTAACAATATAATCAGCGGAATCGTCCGTAAAATTAAACTAACTTTGAAAATTTGAAGAGAATTTTGTAAGATCTCCAGACAAGGCAATAACTGGTATTTAACCCTCTACCGCCGTATGTTACTCTCCTGGAACATGTCTTGTAATTTAAATTATACGTAAGATATTGACTGCAGAAACTTGAGGACGGTTGTCCGCTACAGAGAACATCTTCTACATAGAACAATTTCTAGTCGGTGACAACAGTTTATTTCTTCCGTTACCTTATTGTTTACTTGTCCTTACTTCATAACTATACTGTTCATAACAGAATATATACACCATGTATTAATTTAGCTGTGTGCCTCATGTTCGTTATGAGTGCCATGTATATACGGTATATTGTCCCCTTATAGGGACGAATATGTTATACATGACATGTTTTATATTTTTTAATGATGTGCAATGAAATTTGACAAATGGTATAGTTATGGTGCCATGGCATCGCAAATGACACGAAAACAATGAAATAAAAATTATTTCTTCATGACTTTGTATTTCAGGCGGGAGAAGGTTAATTGCTTTCAAAGACCATTTTTAGCGCATTTTCTCATTTATAGAAAAAATACACTATTGTGCTCGTCATGTCCTTCCGCCCGTCTGTCTGTCCGTCCGTCCGTCCGTGACTTCACGTTTTCGTCGACGAGAAAATGCGCTCTCTGTCACTCACTGCAATGTAAATAAAAAAAATATAACTGAGTTATATTTTTTCATTCAGTAACTGCTAATAGAAGATGTTCTAACGAACCGTTTTCTTGTTCATATAATCACAGTCTGATCATTATTGTACCTATCCTGATATTGAAATGAGAGTCAACATTCGTACATCTTAGGAAAAGCCACGATGTTACGTTATCTCACCAACTCTTCAAACTGACGTCCACAAATGAGGTTTTTCGCTAGTTACTTGACGATTGATTACATAAATATCGGGTGAAATACCGAATATCTTGTACGTAGTTATGAAGAATAATTGAAATTCTCAGTTAACATTTACGCCTAACACACCAGAAGTCAAAACAACCTTACCTCTTACCACAGCAAACCGCATCTCATCCCCTCTTGTCATCCGATGAATATCGGACGTTAGACCTCAATACGGTCTAAGTTAGACCGTATATACATGATCTAACTTGCAGTCAGCTTCGTCTCGGGTCGGAACAAACTGGTGTCTGCTGTCAGCTGTAAATTAGTAGCAGCTCACTATGTCTGCTAACATGTTCTGACTAAAACTTGCCGCGCTGCCGCGAGTTGCTCTGGGACCATACTTTCAAAACTCGTTAAGTGAACGTAAAAACTTGCGCTCTATTTTCTTGTCTATGATTGCTGGATTAGGCTTGAAAGGGCGTCAATGATTGGCTGATGAACTTACGATCTCTTAACTTTTATGAAAGTATAGGCCCTGAACTTTTACTGGGAAGATGCGCGCCATAAGAAGCTACGCGCCCTAGCTTAGTGCAGCTTAGATTGGCCTAACATATTTTGCTGGGATGACGAAATCCTTATGTAGAATGTACAGAAAACAATGCAGATAAAACGTCTTCCTGCATAGTCTTTTTGTTCACAATTACTTCAATGTGAAATGCTCTCTTTACTAAATAAGATGGAAATCGAGATCACTCAAGGCTGTATCGCAAGAATTACACTGCAATGGAAGCATGGTCTATAATATCATGCTAAGTCCCAGCTCGTTAACACATAACCTCAAGGCAGATAAAACGCACAGATAACGAGTAATTTGCATCACACGCTCGCGTCTAGGATACGTCTATTTCCGCAGGTAAGAAAACATTTCACCGCAAAAAAAAACATAAACGCATCGATACACACTAACAATTAACAACATCACAAAATCGAGTCAGCACGTCTCCGTATGCGCTGATAAAATAAAGTGTGTCTCGTAAATAATTAAAAACATTTGCAGCAAGCAGAGAGCGACAATATGTTTAGAAGCTTCTAATGAAAAGAAATGCGAAACAGCGAGTAAATAACCCAGCATTTTGAGAAGATACTTCAACAGAGGAAATACGAGTACATTCCGCAGTATATGAAGGTTAGCGTAGCAGAACAAAGCAAAAAATATCAAAACAACGAGACCAATCCTGAATAAAAATTACAAAAATTAGAAATTGTTTCGAAGATACTGCTTGCTTTAAAATCATCATATTCATACGACGAATCTAGAACCGATGATAAAATGGCATAACACTAAAATATCGGTTTGGAATTAAATAAAATAAAAACCAGTATGAGAAAGCAATTTTGTGAATTCCCCTGGCGATCTGTACGCGCCGTTGATAAAACTGATAGATACAGGGACTGGGGCCGAGGGGTTCGTCCATCTCCCCTGCAATAGTTGCCACTATTATTATTAATAGTTGCCACTATTATTATTAATAGTTGCCACTATTATTATTAATAGTTGCCACTATTGCCCCTGCGGTTCTTGTGAGGACTTCCATCATATTATAGAAAGCCTGTATACGTCAACTCGAATAAAAGTTAAAGCGCGGCCTTACGAAATTTGGTTTTAGTTTCTGTAAAGTAGAACCTGCCACACGCTACACCACATGACATTTTTACATCACTTCTCTTTAACTTCACTTCTTGTTATTTGTTTGTCTGCTTATAATCGATATTTAATCGATATTCAACACATCTTATAATTCATATGTAACACACTTCTACCTGTCCAATCGATCTGAGATTTTGCACACTTGCGTCAATTCGGAAACAATGCTTGAATCAATTGACAGAACAAATAATTTAAAAAATTTAAAAGAAATTCTCTAAGATATTAAAAAAATTAAAAATAGTTTTTTTAATATTTAAAAATAAAATTAGAAATTCATTGTACATGTGTAACATCGGAGACATTGGTCTCTTTAGAAGTGTTGTCTTTAAAAATTAATTTTTAAACGCATATTATTGCACGTAAGGCTGTACATAATTGAGTCCCGCAAGTGCCCATGCAATGCTATGCTAACAAATGACTTAAACTCATCTTCCTTTGCCTGATACTTAGATTTTTGCCTTAACTTAGATTTCTGCATGGCGAACTGCACTGATAAATAATAGCTGTACATGGAGACGATTCTTCCCTATTTTAAAGCCGGTAAGATAGTCTACACAATGTAAATATGTAAAGGAGGCTTCAATGAAAGTTCTCAATAGAAAGTAAAAAAATTTCATAAATATATAAAAAGCAGGATACAAGGAAGAAATGAAGAGCATTTTCTCTAAGAGATACACAGTTTGGCTAGCAATAATCGAAATTCGGTGAATTGCTTTAGAGTTTAGTTGGAGCGTCTCAAAAAATGAAAAACTTCTTTCCGTCTGGCCGCCGTGAACAACAAGCCTGCTGTTCACACACTGCCGTGAACAACAAGCCTGCTGTTCACACACTGCCGTGAACAACAAGTCTGCTGTTCACACACTGCCGTGAACAACAAGTCGTGAACAACAAGCCTGCTGTTCACACACTGCCGTGAACAACAAGCCTGCTGTTCACACACTGCAGTGAACAACAAGCCTGCTGTTCACACACTGAACACACAAGATTACAGATCATACTCGGCCCGCCTGCCGGTCAATAGGCAACAACAAAAATTTAATTTAAAGGCTTAGAGTTGCATATTTCTCCAGTTGACGATGCATATTAATTTATTTTACTAAGATCAGCACACATAATAGAAGAAAGATGTTATCAGCTCAGAACGTTGAAACGAAGGCAAACGTCTTACGTTAAGAAAATCATTTATAATAAAGTAGGAAGCTTGACTTAAACAATTGACACAATGACTCTTAGTATAAATTCTGTTCTGAAATAGAAAATTGTTATTAGTTCGCTTCTCGTATCCGGGGAGATATCGTGAAGCCTTTGGCTCGGTAATACGCAACATCAGTTGTACTACGGGGGCACTTATATCACTAAGAGGACAATTTTATCACTAAGTGGACACTTATATCACTAAGTGTCTGCAACCTCGGTCTGAACTGAAAGCTAACTCGGCGGAATGAAAGACAGGCATAAAAATTAAAAGCCATCCCGAAGCATAAAAATTGAAGAATGATTGGAATTATTGAACAACAATCATTGGATTTAAAAAACATTAAACTAATATTGTCTCATATCAACGATCACTGCGGATGATAATAATTCAAAAGATAAAGTTATAAATAAAATCATAATTAAAAGTGATAAAATCATAAAATTATCAAAGATGCAAAAAGTTTGCAGTGAAAAACAGTGGTGCAGCAAAAACACCACGTGCAGGCAATGAGCAACATAAATCAACGATTGAACATAAACAAAAACTCCACATTACAAATGAACCAGGAATATTCATAATCAGAGCATCAGCCGGCAAGCACGACAAAAACACCGCACACACCGAGGAGAAATTTCCCTGTCAAATGACCGCGACACTGCACGGCATTAAATACACTGGAACAACTAATGAACTTATTACTTTGAATTAACTTATAATGAACTAATTACTTTAATGACCTAACACGAACGGCGACATCAGGTCATTCACACGAGTAAAAAAGGCGGTTAACCGGACACAACTTCATCCTCAGCTTTAGAGTAAATAAAAAACTTCCGTACATTCTCATTCCCCGACCCAAGCCCCAACACTTCTCAATTATACCAAAACCGACGTCATGTTTACTATGAGCCTTCCAGGATGCAAGACTCGAGCTCTTCTCAAGATCTTCGTAGCACAGACCTTGAATTTCACACCTAAAACTATAGCATTTTGCATACAGCGCAGCAAACTTCGTATGAAGCTCGTATCACTTGTGGCAATTAACATACTCATTTTATGGAGCACCTTTATTGCGGCGTGTTGAATGTTGATGGAAAATCAATAATTAAAACTTAAGCTTCAGCCGCCAGGCGCGTCTTATTTTACCAAGGTTCTAGTATATGCAATAACAAGAAGATAACCATAAACAATCTTCACCCATTACTACAGAACAACACTTGTACAGGAACAGGACAGGAATAGGGGCGAGTGCACCGCAAGGCGACATGAAGCTAACATAAGACATCTGATAACAAACATGACGTACGTTCTGAACATAAGATATAAGAACTAGACTTCATACATCATACAAAATACGTTCTAAATATATTTTAATATTTTTCCGCAGGAAATGATCCATTCTCGACACTCTGCCATATCAACTCTTGTTGTAGGTATATAATATGTGTGAGCTTACATTGAAATCATTACTGAGTTTTGCTGCATTCTTTCTTTTGCCATCCAATATGAAATTAACGTAATGATTGTAATCATGACTGGTGTTCCCCAATAATTAGGGTAGTAGAAACATCCCAGTTAGCGGAAACATGAACTTCTATTGTAAAGTAAGTAGAACAGATTTTGAGTTAAATATGATAAAAAAGTTGAATCTATACTTAAGACGTAAGAGACAAGTAACGAATTCACAACCAATATAAGTATACGCAAAGAGCTTCAAGTTATTAATAAGCGTAATATATCTTCATAGATCTTAGGCTCCAATTAAATTTTTCCCATAGTAAACCAAGAAGATTGTAGCAGACTAGCGGGCGGGCGTGACCGAGTACATTACGCTTAAGATTTCGTGAACTTGTGATGACTAACAGGGCCAGTAGCTAATTTGAAGACATGGAAATACTGCAACGCTTTTTTGTAGCTCTATACCATGTAGGGGAAACTTCATCCCGTTGCTGTTATCACTTTCAATCTCTGGGGTGCAATACACTAGAAGGTGTTCAAATATTGTTTAGCCAACAAAAATTATATTTAACTGGGCAGTTTTAAAGTATCCAACACGACTTTTTCAGAAGTCAAGCAGAGATTCTAACAAAATCAGGACTAAATTGCAATAAAAATTGATCGTGGACAAAATACTTTCGTCATTATCCTATTTTCAACAAAATGGCACGTTTTCACCAATGGAAGGAAGAATTAGATTCAGTCGTTCCAATACAGAAAACTTATTAATACAGGATATATTGCAAGGATTATACAACAGATGAAAACACCACATATTCATCAGGATATAATCTTTGATCGATCAGCAACCTCAATAGGACTTGAATGTGCAGTGTGGCTCACTGTTTACAACCGTCACACAACACACACAATGCTCAGGAAATTGTTGCGAGGTTTGTCGCGATGGATTCAAGAGGTAACTTGTAACTCAGTGCAGCTAGAGATGCTCAAGGGATTCCAACAAACCCAACTATCCCTCTATCTATACTCTACTATTAGAGGATAGTTTTGGAAATACTACCGGTATCTCTCTGCCACACACCAATATAGCTTAATACCATTCAAACTAGGATACAGCAGACTATCCCTCTCATAGCCACAAATATAGACTATCCCTCTCAAACTCACTGAAACGGCTATTAAAAAATTCACCAAATAAAAAACCACATCACTTTTCTCAACAGAAATTTTCTCCCTCACATCGAAAGAAATTCACAAGGTTTGTATTGCAGAAAAACCAGGTCAAAAGCAACAGGGTGAAAATAATTGAATGGAAGAGCAATATTACTGAGCCTGTGAGAGCAAGTGTGAAATATAGAAGATTTCAGCGAAAGTAAGACGGCTGATTATAGGACTTACAAAAAAAAAAATAAATTGGGTAGTAGTAACTCACTGCGGCACACAACTAATTCACCTTCACCTTAGAAGGCATGACACTGCCACAGTTTCCATGATAGACTTTAATACGTCCAGAACATGCAAAATACCTATCGAAGATGTGAGCATAGCCCTTGTCTCTCCACCACTGGCAGAGCTGCCTGTTCCATTGGCAGGGCAACGTGTAGAACAGCTCGGGGTGGTCGAAGGCTATTAATGTGTACAGATCCTGGTCGCCTAGATCTCCACGGAACTTGTAGTGGTCACTGCGGCCATACAGCACTGACCTCTCCAGATATGATTCTGCAACAAAATATACAAGTTTAAAAGCAGCACTGCAAGCCTTCAGTACAAGTTAAGTCTAATGTGGTCTTAGAAATGACCAAGCTTCTGTGTTTTACAAGAGTTAATAAAATTGAGATTATTTTTCACATAATACTGCAACTCATACCTAGCTGCAAAACATTCTACTGCAACAAACATACTGCTGTTGAAAACTCATCCTCTAGGGCATATATTTTACAAGCATGGGTTTCAACTGACATGTTGAATAATAATTTACAATCAAATATATTATTTTGAATATTATTTTAAACAACCTTTAGGGGAGTGCTAAAGTTATGATTAATCAAGAAAAAAAAGACAGAATTTCTAAAAGTTGAGCTGAGCAGCAGCAAGGCACAAGTTATTTGCTATATAGTGAATATATATTTATATTTATACATTTCTATTTACAATACTGTACAGTGAATTGAAAAAAGTCATATAATAAGCAAGTACTTATAATGAGTCATAAATACAAAAAAAAATAGGTGGTAAAATAAGCAAATAATTTATGTGGTAGATTAATTAGTATGTATTAATTGTCATGCATTATTTCAAGACATAAAAAAAGTATGCAATTCAGGTTCTCACTGATGACAGCGGACTGCTTAAGCCTTTCAATGTCAACAAGCATAATGCCGCTGTTGTAGCCAGGGAATCCTCCCTCAGAGCTGGCACTGCCCAGTCTAGTGTGTGGGTTGTCCTTCCTGTAGCGCTCCAGGGCGTGCAGGTATGCGGGTGACAACTCATGCGTCATGGCCATCACGTGGCTGCTCTCAAAGCGCGAGAAGTACGTCTCAAGTTCAGCAATGTCCGCCTCAAACTGCAGTAATCATATGATTCTCTCATTACTTATTATTGGACAAAGTGCAAGAAGTACGTCTCGAGTTCAGCAATGTCCGCCTCAAACTGCAGTAATCATATGATTCTCTCATTACTTATTATTGGACAAAGTGCAAGAAGTACGTCTCGAGTTCAGCAATGTCCGCCTCAAACTGCAGTAATCATATGATTCTCTCATTACTTATTATTGGACAAAGTGCGAGAAGTACGTCTCGAGTTCAGCAATGTCCGCCTCAAACTGCAGTAATCATACGATTCTCTGATTACTTATTGCTATGAGTGTCTCTAACAAATAGGGGTTAATTTCATACAAAAGTTTGAACACTTGAATGTAGTTATTTGACTTTGATCACAAGCTTGTGATACTATTTATGAGCCTATTATTCCAATCAAATTAGCTTTCATGGATACAGAATCTGATTTGTAGTAATTCTGAATCCTCAATTTATTTCAACAAGTCAGCACCTTCTGCCTCATATACAAAAACTTGTAGATAATTTATAAATAGTTATACAACTTTATTGATTTGTTGCTTTAAAAGTTAATCAGATTTGCCAAGAAGTTGAATTTTTGGAACACTCATTCACATTTTAAATTTTCAGAGAATTGCTAAGTGCAATCAAGCCATCTTATTAAATGAGGCAAGATTTTAAAAATTTACCTGATAGTAAACTCTCAATAGAATGTTAAATGTAAGGAATTATGCACAAATTTAATCAAAAAGAAGCTATTAATAACATTAATGATTACTCACAATGAGATACAGAGATCAAATACTACACCATTAAGGTCAACATATGAGCATTCATGCTAGTATCAAGTAAAATATTTAAAATATACCATATTATTTATTGTACCTACATCCTAGTAATTGCATTTAATGCTAGGCATTGATGCAACAAAGGTTTGTTATTCTTCTCAATATGTATACTCACTCTAACATCAATATCCATTAAGATGACTCTCTTCAGGCCTGGTAAAATGTCATAGAGAAATAAAGAGAAGAAGAAGAGAGGATCTCTGTAGTAGACTTGAGACCTGCTAGTGAAGAATTCCTGCAGAAGGCTAAGAGTTGATTCTTCAGCAGACAAAAGCCTCACTTTTTCCGTTGAAACAAATACCACCTGAGCAGACAATAAATTTCAACTCAAACTTCCATTATTATCAGCTAGCTTCATATAATAAACAATTTAACTTGCACAAACTTGATAACAAAAATAAACAAAAAATATCCATGGCAATGCTACGTATCCCATAAGTTTTAGTGAGCCCATAAGGGGTTTTTATATTCAGAGTTTATTTGTTTAAATAGAAATTTAAAATATTTGTATTTATTGAATAAAAATTTGCATATTCATTGTACATTTGCAAATAGAATGCATTGAATTGAAAAATTTTAAATCAAATATGGACAAATTTCTGGGGGTAGTAAAGTATGTAGCTGAAAAATTGAACAAAAGGTAAAACAATACTTAATACAAACAATGAATGGTTTAAAAACTAATTTGATTGTGTTAAACTATATTGTATAGTAGAAAAATTGTTTCTATTAAATTATTTTGTTGAATTAATTTAAACAACAAATGTTTAAAACCAATGAAGAACATAGCAGGGAAGACAAAAAACACTTGAAAGCATGTGCGTAGATCCAACACTGACAGAAATTTAAAGGCAAATTAGATGAATTATTAGCTAAATGATTTTTAAAAAATGTTGAGAAAAGGTAAAGGCCAAAAAATTTTTATATAGAAAGGACTTTTTGGTAGCGCAATGATATAAGAACATGGAATGTGCAGCATAAGTGGTTGAAATTTTCAACATTATTTTTATACAAATTAAATAAAAAATATCAAGGACATGTGATCATCTATTGTCAGAGATTTCTAAAACAAAACATTAATTGCTTGAATTGGCCTAATATAAGGTCAAAAGGGCTAATTTATTAATAATTTAAAAGCAAAGAAAGTAGCCAAAATTTTCCATTTCTATCTTTTTGAAATTGTAAATAGACAAGGCTGTCTGCTCATTGTTCATACATCATAATTTGTTTTCATTTGTCAATTTAGGTTTCAATATCTTCAATGTATATATTAGCTTTCAAATTAATTGACAACATACCTCAAATGACTTCTGATGCACCTTCACCAAGGCATCAATGATTCTTGAAGCAACTTTAAAGCTTTCTTCATCAGTAACAATGTGCAGGCGTACAGGTATAGACGAGTAGGCAAGAATTGAATCCATTGCCACATGCAGGTGATTTTGAAGTTTTTCTTTATCTTTCCCATGCCGAAATATGATGGCAAGATCAATAGGATTTCCATGTCGGTATTCAAGCAAAGAGGGCTTTCCAGATGAATCTTTGAAAATTTCAAGATGGTTGGAGGGCACAGAATTTAAATTTGTGTTTATAAACCCAAGTTTCCACAAGATAAAAATTGCGCACATTGAGAGGAATAGGGCAAATAAATATTTTTTTGATCTGATAAACAGAAATGCCATGTTTTGTGAAAATTCTGGAAAATCCGACAGGGTCATGAATTCATAAGAACAAGCTATTATGCATCTAGTGCTGATTTATTCAAGACTCCCAGAACCCATTTCATTTTATTGAAGGATGGACAATGATCAATTCTCCAAGAAGATAAAAAAATACCATTTCTGCAATACTGTTTATTTTTTCATGCAACAAGGTTAGGTACCAGTACTACTTCATGCATCAAACTTACGTACTGCACATTATTATTGGGGTCAAATTATAAAGTCTGTGTACCTCATTCAACACATGATGCCCGGTGTGATAATTTCAATTCAGGGCAATGTGTTATCAAATATATATGAATCAAATAAATGTGAATAGTTCACAAAGAAATAACAGAAAAAACAGCATATTAAATATCTAAATAAATCATTATTAAGGGGAGCGTTTGAGCAAAATTTTATCTCACCTATACTTAAGGACTAATCAGTTTGAAACTTGGTACACATGTGTAAAACCAAAAAGAAATTTTTTTTTCATGTGAATTTTGCAAAAAAATGAAAGAAAACGTGAAATTCTTAGAAAACAGTACAAAAAGGAGGTACTTTAGAATTCTATCTCCTCCTAGGGTTTTTGAGGTACAACATCGAAATACATATCATTCAATGCGTAAAGACCAGATCTATAAAACATTGCGTACCTTTTTTGATATTTATCATTTTTGTGGGTGTGGAAGTATTTTTTGCAAAATTTTCTACATTTTTCAATTTCCCCCCCCCCCCTCCTTTTTTGCATCATAAAATCCAAACTATAACGATATTAGAAAAATGTATGCGACGTTTTGTAGATCTTTTATTTGCAAATTGAATGATATATGTCTCATTGTTGTAGCTTCAAAACTCTGGGAGGAGATCAGTTTGCAGTAACAATAAGTTAACTTTTCAGTAGGGTCAGACAAAGTTGCGAGCGCCTCGAAAAATACATTTAAGGGTGCAAGGTTGCTAGACAAGACAATATTAGAATTCAATTTCTGTCAAAGATGGTGCAAACACTGGCACAAGAACCATCCCATATGACTGCAGGCGGATAACTGAAGCATAGCATGTTCAGACTAGCTATATAAGGGGACCGTCTACCCCAAAAATTGAAATTTTCAGCTTTTCCAGGTTTTACGCTCATATTAAAGTTCAAATGGTACTAGAACCATCACTGTACGTTGATTTATGCATTCAGGACAGACCCCAAAAGGGGGGAGGGTGGTGGGGTCCCTTCACAAAAGTCTATGGGGATAATTACGTCCAAGCCATATAAAATGGCTATCACTGGACCTGCAGCTCAGTTATCACTCATCCATCATGCAGAAAGGTGTTGATGCAGTCGTCCTATGCACCGCTGACTGACTTTGAAGTGAGGTAACGCTAACTTCTGGTATCTAAGCTACTACATTACATGCCTTTACATAGCCTTCAAAAGTTTGAAAACATGAAAACCTCTCTCACGGCAAACCTACCTCCTCCTATGGTTTTCAAGCTACAGCAATGAGAGACATATCATTCGATTCATAAAGACCATACCTATCAACTCTATCATCGCTTTCTTTGAATTAGTGCATGGTTTGTCTTATATATGGGGGAAGGGGGGGGGGAGGGCAGGGAAAAAGTGGAAAAATGGGAAAAATGCACATAAAAAAAACAATGGGGCAAATAAAAAATTTGAATAATAGAGCCGCTAGATAATTTAGTTACAAATCAAATGATATGTGTCTCAATGTTGTAGCATGATATTTGTAGGAGGAGATAGATTTTCTAAAGTACCCCTTTTTGGCTGTTTTCTATAAATTTCCCATTTTCTTTCATTTTTGTGAAAAATTTATTTGAGCAAATTGTTTTTTATTTTACATTTTACGTATGTGTATGAAATTTCAGCAAGATCTGATGATAAATGTAGAAGTTTTTCTGGAGGGTAGACGGTTCCCTTAAGTGTGCTACCGGTAATTTCGGCCTATCTTAAATGTTGAAGAACTGCACTAGCCCTAACCCTTTCGCAATCTGTCGTGAATGCATAAATCAATGTACAGAGATAGTTTTGGTACCATTAGATGCGTCAGAATGTAAGCTTTAAGATGAGTATAAAAACCGAAAAAGTCAAATTTTTTATTTTGACCCAGACGCTCCTCTTAAATAAAAACAATTGTTTGAAAAGCAAGGCGTAACTATATCACATAGTTATCAACTGGGAAAAAGAGATGATATGAAGGCTTACTCCACAGCCTAGCAGTTCCAGGCTAAATATTTCATATAGCCAGGCTAATATTTCATGAACTAAATGACTTCAGAAACATTATATCTCATAGCAACATATACACTTTATACAGCACTCTCTGCACAACTGCACCCTGGCTTAATCATTACTTCATCATTACTTGACCATTACTTCCTCATTACTTGACCTTTACTTACTTGGCCTGCTGACTGGGTTTAGGGAAATTTTATTTGCATACAAAGATGTTTGCTTGATCAGTACTGTGTTTTGATTTCCAGTTGACTGAGAAGTTAAATTTGCGGGAAAGGCTTTAAGGTGCTTATTATTTTTGAGAATGGTCTAACTGGTTTTGGACTGATTCCTGTTAAGGGGCTGAATGAATTCATTGAATTGTCTAGTTTTTCTTCTGATTCCATGCTCTTCTGTCATTTGCGTCCACTTAGGTTTTGGGGTTTTATCACCTGATGTGTTTCTGTGCCAGCTCTAGCAGAAAAGTTGTAACCATTAAGTGCATTTGAAGACTGTTCATTCATTTCCATGTCATCTAGCATGACTAGCAACAAGCCAGGTGGCAGGTGGTGGGATCTCATGAGAACTTGAGGTACCTTGTAGGCTTGTGTTGGTGTTTCTGGGATTGGGATATGTCCTTTGTCCTCTTCATCATCATCACTTCATCAGGCATGTTGGGATCAGATCCCAGGCCCCAGCATGGTGCTGGTATTATGGTATCAGGTATCTTGATGCAGACAAAATTTTTTTCAGATAAACACAGAAGAAACAACAATGGTCATCCAATACTAGTCTGGAAAAGTCCTATTTTTGTCTGAAATATCGTGGCTCTAATATCATATAATTTCAGTAGGTATGAAATCTCGCGGCTCAAATGTCATAAATTTTTGTTTGATTAAAAAATCACGGTTTGCACTTCACAAACATGTCATTTCATAAAATTTTCAACTTCCGCAATCCGCATTGCTTTACCGTTTCCGCCAAAAATATCTTGCAGAAAAAAACATAAACATCGTAATGTAAACAAATAAACAAAACGTTTGTTGAAGATCGCGCATAGTTGCGGTCATGTCAAAGCGGTCAGACTGTATATTAACACGTGCTGAACTTACAGTAGAGACAAATTTTATTGTTGCCGTTTGACTGTTTAAGGGTAAAATTAGAGATTTGGGATAACACGTGCATAAACTTTGTAAATAAATTCGCATTCGCACCTCGTAAATGGCTTTTCATGGCCGAGATATGGAATTCACGGCTCGGTGAAATAGAATCACGGCTCGTAGAAATGGAATCACGGCTGGCAAATCCATAAAACCACGGCTCGAAAAATTCAGTCGCGGCTCGCCAAGTAGATATATTCCATACTAGATCCAATACTTAGGTCAGAATCAGATTGATGTCATGGATTTATTACAGCAAAAAAAAATAAAAAAAAAACAGTAATATTAACAATCAAGTTGAATATGTAGCATACACTGGACTATAAATTACAATAGAGGTACACAAAATTCTAGTACAGTTGTACAAGTTGATGAATAGCCTACTCGCCCTACCAGGCTACTGTGATTATTAGTGTGGCACTGTGATACAAATACAATCAATCAAAATCAATGAAGTACAAAAACAATACAATTAATACAACACACAGAAATACAATAATGATTGAATCAATAATAATGACAGAACAGAGCCAGTTTTTGCTACCTGTTGATCTAATTTCTAGCTGGCTCACAAACCTACTCCTACCTACTGGCTACTGCATAGTGGCAAACCAGTGATTTTTTAGAATCAGCTCATTTTTAATTTCCTCATTTACCCAAGATTTAAGCCAAAATCTTATGTATGATGATGCTGGTATCCATGATACTTTTCTGCTCTACTTATAGGACTTGAAATTGAACTTGAAGAAGAGTCTAAAAAACTCTCTGCTTTGCCACTATGGGCTACTGCCTCTTCCCGTTCCCGTGACGAGAAGAGGAGGGGGGAGGGGCGAGAGAGCCAGCCGGGTTCTGGAAATGGAACACTTAGCTAATATACTCGTGGTATAAAGAAAAGTGCAATACAAATCAAGTTAGTGAATGAATAACCGTAATAGTTTACACAATTATGTTTAAGCGCGAAAGAAATCGTTACGTTGATCACGATTCACAGAGCACAATCTGAAGATGCGTGCCATATGAACGCCGCGGGCTCTCTCCCAATGAGGACCATCTGATTCTGTTTACATTTTGATAATTTTTCTTCGACGAGACCTAACAGTAAACCGGTTCTATTTCAAGCATTTTAATAAATTCGAATAAGAACCTAAACTATCGAGTGGCTCGAATAGAAGCTTGACTTGATCAATTAACTCAAGCGTGATTGACCATATACCGCTTGAAACGAGGCTTGATGGTGATTGATAGAAAATTTGATTGATGGAAATATACGCACATTTTTAGGGAGAAGACGGAAAAATTCGCAGTTGAAATCCCGTCTCGGACAAATTTACGGCCGGACCCGCGGCCGGTCACGTGGCCGCAGGACTCCAAACATAGAAAAAAACTAACCAATCAACGAAAACCTCGCAGGTTAAGTCAAGTTAGGAACAGGTCCCATTAAAAACACAAAAAAAAAATAGAAAACCCATAAGAAACACTAAGAAAACCTTTCCGGACGCGAGACCGGCCGCAAAGTTGTCCGGGACCTGTTGAAATCATTGTTCACCAGCAAAATTAACACAACAGCTCAAAATACAACGCTATTGAACGAACAACTAGTTTGAACTGATCTCATTTCCGATGAAAGAAAGGTTTTAATCAAAATATTGAAGGTTTAATTGAGGTTGATTGACGCGTGCGTCAATCGGTTGACTTAAACTTTTACCATGCCGCATTGT